CAAACCCACAATTGAATACAACTTGTCAAATGCACTTATTGTCAAACCACATTTAAGAAAATATGCCTGACATCTAAAAGACCCATGGAACATCCCATAATTTCATTTCCCAAATATATGGAGAAATCATTTTTTCTCAAATGGAGTCCATGCTACACAACTTCCTGCATAAGGGAATTATTCCCAAGTCTTGAAGTCACTCATGTGTGACCACAGGAGAGAGAGTGTTGGCCGCAGAGCGTGAGGGGATGCGGGGTGCAGTGGCAAAGAGTTTTGACAACCAAGAGTTCTGCTCCGGCGAGATGGGGCCTCACCTGAATGATTGGGCTCGAAATTCGTAGTATTTATTCAGAGGCCACAACTATTATCTGCTGGGTGAATCACAGTTGAAGGAAGCCTAGGACTGTGGAAGTATCTTGAAAAATATTTCCTTTATTGAAGTCTGCACTATTGCAATATGTTCATGCAGCAATTTCTTCTTGTGATTGTTAGACCCACTATTTCAGCTTTTGAATTTAAAATCGCACAACACGTATTCAAGCACAGTCCTGATGAATCCTTGTCAGCCTTAATTCATTTGGACAAGATATACCTTGTATTGTAATGATGAGATTCCCTCTAGTGATGCATTTAGTCCTGGAGATTACCCTAGTAACGGATTGAAAGGCGAGACCTCCGCAAAACTTTAAGGAAATTATTTGATCTCTCTTTGTTAAAAACTGAAATAAGCGCACATGACAGGCATTCAGTCTCTTTTTCAGACAAATTTAAATTTTACACTTCTGTTGATGCTCGCGCAAGCCTTTGGGACTCTTTTTTACTTCTTTTTCAACTTGGGTTTGACAAGATAAAAAAAAGGCTAGCCCTCCCCAATAAACCATTCCATCGATCGTTTCCTGATTAAATAGTAAAAGATCATGAAATGATGGATAAGTTCATGAAACTATCTCTTTTCTGGTATCATTTGTGCAAATGTTAATGAGATAGATAAGAACCTTGTTCTTTTTGGAATTTGGATTCCCTGTACAGTACTGTATATGAGATGCAAACAGATGTGGAAAATCTGGTTACACCATCCAGGCCAACAAGAACTGGAAAATTAAAGACCCACATACCGTAATAGACCAATCATAACCTCGATTCAAAATGTGAAGGTTTAATTCATATTCAAATTCGATTAAGAAATGTGGAATCTTCTATGAGAGGAAATCAAAATATTGCGGCAAGAGGGTGAAATAGTAACATGGATATTTCATTGGGATCCCCAAACGTGCTTTGAACGGTTCTTTAAACAGCAGAAAAAAGTTGAAGAATTCATTGCTCTCCTAATACCTCTGAAGAATATGCTCGTGATTCAATTTCTTCTATTCCATCCAATGAAAACTGGCTGGATGTGCATATAGAGGCATTATGAGAGGGTTATATCGCGATGTCAGCAGCAGTGACATCTGTTCACCTGATTTCGAAGGCTTTCTCTTGATTTACAACGTACAGCACATACAATGCGCTAGGAGTATTCCCTCTGAAATTTCACGCTACTAGATTGTAAAGTACTTCGGAAGATAATTCTGTACAGCATTTGGAAGACTAATAGCTGAATTGGCCTCTGGGTACAGGGTTCAATATGTCAATAACACATCAGTTTATTCCCACATAAGGTTTAAACTTTGCACAAAACAATTCAAAGTCAAAATTCTAACACAAAGTAGAGTATACGATGCTCCAAAATCCATGATCATTGGAAAGATTTATTTTCACAATCAATTTGATTACGTATACTCAATGATTTTTTTTCATCGTTCGTCAGAAAAGGAATTCTGACACAGTTCCCTTCAGGTGGAGGCGTACAACTGATTTCCAGGTACTGTATGAAATTTCGTAGCGTGTTGCAATCCTGTACAATAGTCATGTATATCATTTTCCTCAAGCCTTCGAGACAGGTTGTTAACGTAAAAAAAAAAGGCAGCAAGTAAGGGGTCCCACTGTAAATATATCTTTACTTATCCGGAAAGCAATTTGGAAGTCTTAAGGGTAGGAGAAATCGAGGAAACTCAGGAATAACGACAGGGATGAAAGGCATTTCGAGTCATCAGTTTGTCAAAAAGTGAGCCAATCAATAAGTAATTAGCGCAGGTGATGCGGCAGGGAAAAGTTTTCAGAGGAGATTAAACCGTGTCACAGGTGTTTCTGAAAGAAAATCGATGCTTATATCTGTATCGACTGATCACGTCGTCCCTGGTGTCTGAATGATCTCACTAGGACATCTCGATTTTACGATTTCCGTGTCACTTAATTCCCACTTTTTCGTTTCTCATCGGGGATGACAGCGAATGCAAGTACATGCGTTCGACACACATATATAATTTCTGCGGGATGAATCGTGTTCGCATCAGATGTATACACTGTGTGACACGGTTGGGTATATATCCCCTGAAATTAAGATCCGAATCTTTTGTCCATATTTTGATATATAAACGAGGCGGATCAGGTATAGTTTCCACAGTTCAGCTTAGAAAGAAAAATTCGCTGTCGTTGTTCCGGTCGTATTGCTCCTAAACTCAAGAAAACTATTTCTCGCTAATATTTCCTATTTTCAGTGAAGAAATAAATTTTATTTGGTTTTACAATGGAAAAACTCGCTGTCGGTGAGGAAACAGAAATTATTTCCCCACTTTGAATAAAGACGCTCATTCAATAAATTGTTTTATACAGTTTTCATCCTGATTATTGGAGTTCTTGCTTATCAAACAAGCGCAAAGACTGTATCGGATTCGGAACCAGCCAAGAACGAAACAAAATCGATCATGGGAAGGGATTCTCTGGACAAGTAAGTGCACAATTTTTTACTTCTCATGAGAACAAGAAAATTGCCCGTTGAATATTGAGAAAAAACCACCATTGAGATCAAATTTATCAACTCATGGTAACCATAACAGTAAAATCTTGTTTAAAAAAACTCCCAGGGACCTGATAAAATATTCAGAAGTAACTGTGGTATAAATACTGTACTTCCTTCTGAATTAAAATATTTGTTCGTATCTGTCTTAATTTTCTACCAACTCATGGATAATTTTTCTACAATATATACAGTTTATTTGGAAGAAAGCATAAATTTTAAAATGGAGATAAATTATTTGGAAGAAATATGTTACATTGTGCATTTCTTGAACAACAAATTGAATCCTCATTAAGTTTTCCTTCTTTGATGAAGTTGGGATTCTGCACCTTCTAAATTGTTTCTCCTTTTTCCACCTTTCATCGAATAATCTCAATGAAATTTGCACAGAATCAGGCCAAACATCATTGCAATGAGATTACAGCCTAAAATGAGTTCATTGGAACACAATTTTTAAAGCATGGCACCTATGGAGAAATTGCTGGGGTCAAGAAAAATTTCATTATTGCAAAAAATGTGTTATAATGAGATTTGTTGTGATAGAATCCTTCTGTAATACTGTATCTAGAAATTATCAAATGCCTGAGTCTCTGATCTGCTGGTTTACAAGCACTTCACAAATAACTGAAATGCAAACAGAACCTCATGAAGATTTCAGGAAGTCCTCTCGGTCCAATTGTACTAGAGGAGCAGTATGAAAGATGGTAAATCAATTTTGAGAGCTTCATACAAAATCGAATAAAATAAACAAAAAAAGCCGGGTTTTCAGAAAATTGAGCTACTGTTTACACGTTTCCTCGTTGTGTATTCACCCCTAGAACATACCGTATTTGCTTGAAATGTGGTTAGCATACTTAGCATTTGATCCGACACTTGAAAAATGCATATTCATTTCCAATTACCGGATGCTTTTTCCAGCATAACGTATCAATATGTATAGTGAGACCTTCATGAAGTATTAAATAAAATGATTTGGCGATTCAGGGACGATTCATGAAAAAAATCGAAATTTTGATCCATGCAGATGATGCAAAATGTAAGGGGGTCAAAACGAAATAGTTTTCGAAATTATATTTAGGCATAATTATGAAATTTTAATTATAATTCAGTTTAATTATAAATATGTGTTTACTTAATACGTAATCATTTAGAACTGTATCTAAAATGAAACCAGGAAATTCCGAAGACGTGATCTCTTAAAATACCGTATGCTGTTGATCGAGTGTATGAGTCTTTCGTTCCTGTTTTAATTTTTCAAGCCTCGCTCCGAAGGCCGATTACTGCAAGGTGTCTCAAGGACACACGGCTTGCAAATTCACGAAGCCGAACGAGCTCGGTGCTTGCCAAAAAGTGAACAAACGAGAGCTGACACCGACTGAGAAGAGCAAAATCGTGGATGCGCACAATGCCAAGCGCAGGCTGGTCGCCAAGGGGAATCAGAGCCCGCAACCCGAGGCTGCTGACATGGCCAAGCTCGTAAAAACAAACGAAAAAGAAACTCATTATTCCAAGTCAATCTTGTTTTCCAAACAATTTTGTGTTTCATTTTTCTGAATGATTCAGGTTTGGAACGACGAGGCGGCTGCGATAGCCCAACTCTGGGTGGACCAGTGCACCTTCAACCACGACCAGGAACGTTCTACTGGTAAGTCGATTATTTTCCACACATTAAACAATAAATTCATGTTACACCTTCATTTTTCGATTATTCGATGAAACTTTCTGAAACAAAATTCAGTTTTATGCGGAAAACCAAAAGGTTACCTTGGCCAGTTGAAGAATTCAAGTGGTAACCTGAGACAAACTTAAAACCCGTGGTCTGTGGACTGGTGCCTGTCCCCAGGTGTTTTTTGTAGGTCCATTGGAAATTTTTTCTAGCACAATAAATTTGTCAAAAGTAACAATGAAATCTGTTATCCTTATCTGAAGTTTCAGAGAGAAAATGGCAGTTGACATGGTCAGATGAAAAATGAAACTTGGCTTTTTTACTAACAACACGTCAGACAAATTTTCACCTCCAGAATTAAATTATTTTGCTTTTTCCATGTAGAAAAATCTTTCTTCAAGCCCACCTTTCCAATTTTTTCAAGACATTAAATTATAGCTGCTTCATTGCGGTTCTTGATTTAATTCTTGTAAAAAAAATCAGAAACTTCTTAATTACTGTACCTGCAATAATTTCTTTCGAACAAAAATTTTTTGAGTCTGGGAAATTCTATGAAACATTGTATGCAGGTCCACATGAAAATTTTTTTAGTAATTGCTCAAAGAGCAAAACATGGTTATGGAACTTGGTCAGTCTGCAGGCCTGAACAGGTTGGGAACACTGATTCAGATGATAAGATAAAGATGGAACATTTTTATATCCCCTATTTGAAAAATGAAACTGCTGCATGCTTTTGCTGACATGAAATCCATAGGGTTAGTCCCGACAACTTCTGCGCCAGTAGTCCTCAATTTAGTGCCCTCCAAATTTAGTAATGCCACCCCATGCATAGTGCACAAATTTATCTGGGCAAAATGCCCCATAACTGAGTTCTTAATAAGGTGAATCCCAATTCAGTGTCAACTCACATAGTGTCATCACTTGTTTTTGCATATTTTGTGGCACTAAGGAAGGGTGGGAATAAATCGGGGTTTGGCTGTACTGTACTTTGTTTTCCACCCACACCTAAAGTTCTTGAAAGTGAATTATGATTTCCTATGACGTCTGAGCGACACACCAATGCCATCAGAAGGCTAGGATACTCTTGAGTTATTCTCCAAGACTCAAAATAGTTGTGAAAATAATTGAAGTAATTTTCAAAAATTATGCAACAAAATACTGTTTTATTCTCGATGCCGCGCGGAAACCAGAAATCCATATTACACAGCACTCACTTTCCCTCACTGTTTAATTCGAACATTGTTCCACTGATACACTTGCAGTGAAGACCGGAAAATCGATCACTAATGGACAGAATTTGTACATGGGAATGGGACCAGGCGACCTCGACATAGATGACGCCATCAACGCCTGGTTTGAAGAAGTGAAGTCGTTTTCGCCGTCAAGTGTTACGAATTTCCAGTGAGTCACCTACAGTATTAATCAATGCTGTGAACAATTTAGTTAAACTGAGCAAGACTTCGACGTAAGGAAGAGGAAAAATGAATAAAATTTAGTACTGTACTGTATTTGAAGGGGGGGGGGGGGGATAAACTCGCCAGTTTCTCCAAGCCTACAAATCGGAACATGAACCTGATAATATGCCTTTTTGCAAAACGAGAAATAGTCGCTGGAATTCGTGGAAGTCGATGCAAATGATGCTTCGTGTAAAACAAAATGATGAAACTGTGGATACACAAGGGTTAATGACATATACTGGACTGTACGTATATTGTATTACCTGATTTTAGAAAATTCACATTTTTGTACTTTACGTACAGTAAAAATCGTTGAAAATCCGTTTTTAGGGAAAAATATATGATAAAATAAAAATTGCTAGTTGATTCTCATCGTCTCTATGTAAAACCAGTTAATAAAAAGGCTAAAAACCGCGAACTTTAACCCAGTCCCCACCTTGACCTCAGTGGAAGAATGGAAGCACTTCCTGAAAAACTGCTATTTTCTCGAGGAAAATGTTTTAAAAAAATTTTATGAAGTGAAAGATAGAAGAACACGAGATAAAACGGAGGACACATATGCAGAAAGAAGAGATTTAATAAACTCAATTTGAGGATACAAGGGATAAGTGAGGACTCAGATTCCATCGAGTAACACTTGTACAGGTTTTCCCAATGACCTCAAACTTATTTTTAGCCTCGTGAAGCTTTCGATCATTACAAAAAATTGACCTAAAAATTTACCGTCGCAAACAATTTCATACAATTTGGGTACACTTTTTGCCGACATTCAAGGTTTGAAATCGAGGTGCGCGTCTTGTTGCTGGAGTACACGCGATATAAGTTCTTCACGCGAAGTTAAGACAAATAATGCAAAACTTACCAATTCATCTGGTGCAAAATAAAGAGGGACAACGGGTATAGCCTAAGGCCTAATGAGAGACTCTTACATACTGTATAGAAAGAAGGAAGCCAATGACCTAGTCCATATGATGGTATTTTCCTGTCCGCATCTGTTTCCAGATTCAGCATGAGCACGGGTCATTATTCTCAGCTGGTTTGGGCCAAGACCACGAGCATCGGATGCGGTTTCGTCAACTACGGCAACGATCAAAAAATATTTGCGTGCAACTACGGACCAGCCGGAAATTTCATGGGTCAGCCTGTTTACAAAACCGGGAAAGCCTGTTCAGCGTGTCCGAGTGACATGTCCAAATGTGACGACGGTCTTTGCACTAAATGACCTCGTTCGCGAGTGATGACCCGAGCCCGTTGAAAAGTTACCGAGTGTTTCAAAAAGTATTCTAGTTTGCATGTGACAGCACCTCACCGAGAATCAGCAAAATGTATTCGTTTTGGCACCAGTTATAAAGATATCAATCCTTTCGCAACATGAAACCTGCTCTCTTGTCTTCCCACCGGAAACTCAACTCTTATGGAAGGCGACAAATGCTTCCTAGAAGTATGCATTGCTCTGTTCACGGTGTCCTGCAAATGAATTGGCTTAAATATCAAAGTTCATTCGCTTCTAGTTTTTTTTTCTTTTATACATCCAACAAACTTTCACTTGATTGGTTGATGAATATGGTCATTTGCCACTTGTCAGCATCCGCTCACAAGGTTCAAAACATGTAGCCCCCCCCACCCTGCCTGATGGAGTTTCTGTGAGGTGTGTCCCAAGNCCCCCCCCCCCCCCCCCCCGCCCCCCCCCCCCCCCCCCCAATTACACCAGCAAGCAATTAATGGTCTCAATTCAAAGCACAAGTATTTATGTTGGAACCTGCGCAAGTTAAACTGTTCATTTGGCCATAGTATTTGAGTAAAAGCTGTAATGGAGAAAGTGGATATCCAGAAATTCATAAGCATGACGAGGAGCGGTTCTTGGTAGCCCCTCAGTGAGGATGCAAACTGCCAAATAACAGGGGGAGTTTTGCACTGCTCCCTGTTATTTGTTTTGTTGAAAAGTGATTTGTTTTTCTAGTTGAGTTTCGGACATTAGAGAAAAAAGGGGGCTCGACTCCCCCTTCCACCCGAGTCGTCACTCGGATTTCGCACAGTGGATTTCGACTATCCAATGTCCGCTTGGCGGGGAGCACCAACTCACGCCAGGTGGAGCCTGCACGTCACGTGAGCCGGCTTCACATCCCCTGCACCCGCCGGAGCAGTAAGCACCATCAACCTCCGCGACGAGTCGGGGATTCGAACCCGAGAACCGCGGGAGGGACGGTGGTTTCTTAACACCACGTGCTATGCTGCAGGCGGGCGAGAGAACATACACTGTGGAGGGTATATAAATGCGTACTGTACTTCTGCTCTGCGGCCTCGTCCGCAGTCTTCGTTGCGCCTCTCTGTCTTTGAACTTCTCCCTCACAATTGATAATCTTTGGAACTGCATGTGCATCCCTCATTGCTTGCCATTTTTATTGTTCAAACCCGGAGTTCCCTATTGAAAGAGCTGGGTAATACACCCGTTTTTCTACATACAGTACCATTTAGCCCAAGGCCAAAATCAACACCCGATATTTTCCTTGTACAGTATTCTGATCACTAGATTACCTCTGCACATATCCGTTGTCTCAATGTTGTTTGCCGACGAAAGGCGTACGCATTTCTTTGCAACCCATGGGTGATGAACTGAAAATTCAGCTCTCCTGGATGTAATGAAGAAACCTGGCACATAATTCGGCCGTAAACGCTGTCAGGGACACAATATTCCCAAAAAAAAAATTTACAGTCATCAGAAATATATGTACATGTTTTGACTCAACACTCTTCTGAGGAGTTCCTTTCGAGTGTTTTCAAGATTTAAAAGATTGGAGTGTTTCAAGTTTCAATAAGACCCAGACATAATTTTTCAATCTTGTATAGTACACATGATTTTTGTACCTCACAAGCATTTTTGGCTTGGGGGATTCTTGGCCTCACAGTATTTTCAAGCCGCAAGATTTGCTCTGCCATGGGATATTCTCCTGCATCCATTTTTGAGACATGTGCATGATGACCCGGAGATTTAACATTCCTGGATGCATTGAAGAAAACTGATGGGACATGAAGCCATAAAAGCTGTCAGGTACACATTCAAAACCTGAAAAAATAATATAACTTTATAGCCACTGGAAATGTACACCTTTTGACTCTACTCTTTTCAAGGGACTATTAATTTGCAGTGGTTTCAAGGTCATCATTAGGCTGTTGAAAAATTATTGATAAAAATCTACAAATAATTTCTGTTTTTTCTCAGCTGTCAGCACTGCTCTCCTCTCTCCAAGATATGAGGGTTTTCATCCCCGCCAAGTGATTATTGTGGGTTAAGAACCCCAGTGGGGAGCTATTTTTGCTGTGACCCCACAGTAGGTGCACACCAGGTGCACAGCAGGGGCACTGTGTAGAATTACAAACAAATCCCCAGCGTGCACCAATTTCCACACTTGGGAAGAGATCATCATCTGATTTCTTCCCAACTCACAATATTGGCCAATTATTAATTGAGGCAAAATTAAAGAAGTTATTCTATCAAAGGAAGTAATTTCAACTTCTTTGGCCTCAGCGGGTGAGGCACAGTGAGTCTTGTTCAAGACAATTTTGGCAAGGCTCACAAGTCTAGAGGAAAAATGGGTTGCTTCCACTTCACTCTGAGTCAACAGCAGTTGCTTTAGTACATTGCAGCACATGGAACTGCCTTGGTTCCTTGACAAAAGCGAACCTTACGATTAACAAACCTTTCATAAACATCCATACACAGTCTCGCTGGCCAAAAATCAGAAAATATCTTCACGTTATTTATTAATCGGATGGGATCCTTGTTCAAAAACACTTCAAAATCTAACAATTTCTAATGAATATAAAATAATTCTAGCCATGACTATTTTTGAACAAAATAAATTAAAATTGATCCTTTCGTCCAACAGTTTTCAACTGATAATGGGCTCTATATAGAGTTTACTGGAACCTCCTTAAATTGAAAGCCTCAATATTTCAATGTTTCCAAAGTCCTCCCTTATAGAAGTCTTCCATCATAGAAATAAATCGAATAATGCATTAAAAACCTCTCAAATCCACAGCTTTCCCTCTCAAACTTTCCAAATGCATCCCTTCTGGAGGCCTTCTGGAAATCTTTTTATTGACCTGAAAAAAAGAAATGCAATAAAGCAAATATAACTTTCTGTGTTTTCAAAGGAAATGAAAGATGAATCAAACACATTTTTATCAACTTTTAATTTAGTAAAGGTCCGGCTCACTTCAGGTCAGGAGGATCCACTGGAATTATAAAATGTTTATCCTGCAATAGTTACAGCAGTAGGTAATCTAGTGTCCCAATATAAGTGCAATCCACGAGAGGTAATGTTGTATTATCTCAGTCAATGTATCAGTCATTAAGTCACATGTAAAGTAGTAATCCAATTATGTTGGAAGATTGCCCAAGTAGCCCATTTGAAGCGCACGATTGTTTCTAGATGCAAGGAGTGACATACGCAGGAGTGTTTGCAAACGTCTCGTCTTGTCTTCCATATACTTCAGTACATTATTGAATCCAGAGGGTAGATTACTTGTCGCGTATGCCAGTATGAATTAACGTTTCATGAATTAGACTTAATCTTTCCCAAAAATCATCATGTAAAAAGCAACCGGGAGACTAATTCCGAAGGTAACTTTTACATGAACGATTCACAGCAATTCCCATCAATGCTTTGAACCTGTGGAATGCAAAACTGTTATGCATGGCATTTCTTTATGCTCAATTCTTACAATATTAATGCATAATTTCCTTTTCCAAAGGATCGATAAAGGATATATGCGCCTCTTTGTTTTTCTAAAAATGTACAGGATGTGCATCAATATTTCCATTGAAAGTGGTGCACACAATGTGAAAACCCAATACTGTACAAAGGAGTACAGAGGGTACTTTCTTTACTTCTGCAAGCACACAGGAGGTGGCCTACATGAGTTAGAGGTGAAAATCAAAAAACTGAAAGTGCAGTGGAAGACCCAGATGTGAAAATAATGCATGCTTGGACATAAGACTTCAATGGGAATTTATTCAACTTGCTCTCAACAGTTCAGAATGAAATCCCCAAAAATTAAAAAACTGTTTGCTCAACTTCAAGATGCAGAAAATAACTGCATGAGGAAAACCACACAAAACCTTGTCATTTGGCATCAGAAAGAGCTAAAGAAGGAAAAAAATGAACAAGATGTTTTGTACTGCTGTGCACAGATGAAAAAATGAATTGTAAAATGCGCAAAATTAATGTTTTTTCTGTCATGAATTCTCATAAAGTTATAAAGAATCCAATTATATTTTTTGTGAATATGAATAAAGTAGCTCTATTTGTTTTAGAGATCCCCAAATACTTAATATTACAGTACATTTTCATTTTTCTGGAAATGTTGGAAAAGGGTTCATATTTAATGACATTGTCCAGATGTTGAGCAGACTTTTTTTTCCAAGTGTCCCCAAGTCAAATGGTCTGTATTTCAGTGCATCCATATGCTGGAGTCCCAGTGTACAGTACTGCATGCTACACTCGGAAACTTGTGCTCCTCCAAGGCAACTCATTTATATTGTACCACAAACATACAGTATTTATATTCGCTTTGTTTGTTTATGGAGTTCAGTGGAAGTAACATATGGGATACTTTTCAAGTGAGCAACTGATACAGTACAGTTCCTTCATCACTTGTAACCTGCGCGAGTTGAACTGTTCATTTGGCCATAGTAATTGTGTAAAAGCTGTAATGTTTAAAAAGAATATCAAGAAATTCATAAGGATGAGGAGCGGTTCTTGGTAGCCCCTCATTGAGGATGCAAACTGACAAATAACAGGGGGAGTTTTGCACTGATTAGAACGATTTGTTTTTCATTTGAGTTTTGGACATCAGAGAAAAAAGGGGGCTCGACGCCCCCTTCCACCCGAGTCGTCACTCGGATTTCGAACAGTGGAGTCCACCAAAGTTCGCTTGGCGGGGAGCACCAACTCACGCCAGGCGGAGCCTGCACGTCACGTGAGCTGGCTTCACATCCCCTGCACACGCCTGAGCAGGAAGCACCATCAACCTGAGCGACGGATCGGGGATTCGAACCGGAGAACCGCGGGAGGGACGGTGGTTTCTTAACACCACATGCTATGCTGCAGGCGGGCGGGGGAACATCCACTGTGAAGGGTATATAAATGCGTACTGTACTACTGCTCTGCGGCCTCGTCCGCATTCTTCGTTGGGCCTCCCTGTCTTTGAACTTCTCCCTCACAATTGATAATCTTTGGAACTGCATGTGCATCCCTCATTGCTTGCCATTTTTATTGTTCAAACCCGGAGTTCCCTATTGAAAGAGCTGGGTAATACGGCATATTGCCATACTTTCAACCCGTGATCGGTGCCCTTTCCCCGAGGGGGGACTTTGTCCCTACCGCCAAAAAAAAGCGCCATTCATCTGGCAGTGCCATTAAAAGGCTGCGGATTTTTTCTGGTGCTGTGCCGAGCTTCAGGGTTTCAGACGCAGTACCCCTTACGGGGACATTCAC